TGAGGGGGGGGGCATCGGGGGCTGATTGCGCTGGTTTGAATGTGTGGAAGTAAAAGTCAGCACGTGAGGGGAGGTGGGAAGATGTGTAGGCGTCGAGGCGAGTCATGGGTGAGGATACAGAGCAAGATGATGGGTGGAGTGTGAAAGTGTGAGAGCAAGAGGCGCACTAGGCGGCGATCTGGTACCAGACGCGGACAACCTGGAAGGTCTTGATGAGGTAGCCGGCAGACTGCGATGGGTAGATGAGGATGGAGCCAGCTGTGGCAATGTCGCGGAGGACGTTGATCGAGTCGGCGGCAGGCGGCAAATAGTTTTCCGGGAGGAGAATAGTCTGGATGGAGACAAACTGCAAGAGACCGACGTTAGAGGCAAGCCACGCGTTGGCACGGGCAAGCGTAGCATCAAGACCCTCGAATTCACCAGCGCGATCGCCGGCCTGAGGATAAAAGTCCTTGTAAGCCAGCCGCGAGAAAAGCCGGGCATGGCAACACCAGGAGAGGCCCCAGCAGCGTCTGCGGTAGCAGCCGCAGCCACATCGGTGTCGGCAACGGCGCGAGCATCGGGATCGGGATCAGCGTCGGCATTGGCATCGACATCATCATCGTCTTCGGACAACTCGTGCTCCGAACTTGCGGCGGCCTCGGCGGCGGGCTTGTGGTCGAAGACTGGCTGGCGGTCTTCCAGTGGACGCAGCAGATCATTCACAGCTTCACTCTCGAGCAGCTCGGGCGCGACAGACTCGTCGGCCTGGGCAAGCGCAACCAGCTGCAGAGCGCGGCGAAGGCGAGAGGCATCAAAGTCGCGGCCCATGGGCCGGCCTTCACATGATGCGCGCCAGATGGCAGCAAGCACAGCCCTGGGAAGACCCGATGTGGCAAAGAGCGCAGCAGCCATGGCTCCAGCATCCGCCGCTTCCAGTACGGCCACATGTGGTCCGAGGTCGTCCATAGACTGCATCGTCTGCATCGACGGCGCCTCGCCGCCGGCATCGTTGTCACCTGTCGGTGTCGCCGGCGCGGTGACTGTGCCCTCAGACTCGGTGTCAGTCGTGGTCACCATGGTCACGGGTTGTACGCAGAGGCAGAGGGATGTGGCGTGTGGTGGTCGGTAGCACGTGAGCTCGGAACCGGTCGCCGTGCTCACCAGCATGTGACAGACGACATTGAGTGAGGGGCTGGGAGAGGTGGGGGGTGGGGGGTGGGAGAGCGTAAAAATATTTTCGGAGCTGGGCCTTGCCTACATTGCATCCAGCTCTGCCAGCTCGCGAGTCATGTTCTCCACAGCCCGCTGCTGCGCATCGGCAAAGGTCGGCGAGAGGTAGATCGACCTGGGCGTGCCGGAGCCACCGGAGCCGAGACCGAGCGTGCTGCGAAGAAAGGCGGCACGGCCTGATGCAAAGGCGTCGTCGGGAAGTGGGCATACTCGCGGCGAATGTCTCGAGTGTAGCCCGAGTACAGCTCATACGGACGGGCGAGCACAGCCATGTCAAAGTCAAGAAACAGAGCGGCATCCGAGTCGTGGCTATAGCCTCCATGACCCTCGACTTGGATCGGAGCATTGCCTGGGCCGACACCGACGTTGTCGGGCCCGAGGTAGGACCCGTGAGTCAGAGCATGACTGGCGGTCATGACGATGTAGTCGTAGACTTTGCGAACCAAGGGTGTGTCGAGCTTGGCATTGCGGGCAAAGTCGAGCCAGACATCTGCCGAGTCGTGCTCGTTCGCGCCGCCTCCGCCGTTGATCGGGTTGTAGATGATGCTGCGCGCGCGAGTGAGTAGCTACGCCTCGGCGCTCTACCGCTCCACCCAACACATGCACTCAAACAGTTTCCCACACGTACTCATGGAAAAAGATGGCAGCCTCGACTGCGACTACGTCATCCAGCAGCTCTCGATGCTCATCGACGTAGCCCAATAGCTCCCGGATGTGATCGAGCGTGTGATAGTACCGCGATGTCTCAGTGTACCGCGCATAGATCATGCCCCACCAAGCATGACACACGGTGTCGTCGTCAAGAGCAAGATCGATGCCTGCACTGGTGCTCGCATTGGTCCCCGCACTGATGTCTGTTGTTGCCTCGGCGACAGTTGACGCAGTGGTAGCAGACGATTCACCACTGGCTGCAGCGCGCGGCAGGGCGGTGCACAGAGCGAGCCACCGCGGACGCAGGAGATGGCAGAGCATGCCCAAATACGGAGAGCTGGCAAGTAGCGTCCTTGCTGTGGTGGATGCAAAGGGAGGTGCGAGTAAAGTGACCCAGTCGATGGTGGTGGGTGACCGAGTGGGTGAGGGCCGGCGCCTGGCGGCAGGTGCTTCGGCGAGTGGGACGGGCTGGATGGCGGCACTTGATGATGTGGTGCGCGAGTTCGGTCACTGTGTATGTGGGCAAACGCAGAGAGCTTTTCATTTCTAGCTCTTCGTGCTACAATGCAAACTCGGCGGTTGCATTGCCGGAGAGTACGATGGTGGATGGGCGGCTAGAGGCATTGTCGCGGAGGATGACGCGGCGGTTTGGGCTTCCGCGGCTGCGGGTCGAGTGCGAGCCTGCGCGTCGGCGCTTGACCGGCGCCGCGGTCTTGCGCGAGAACGATGAGTTGCGGCGGCGAGACTGGCCGGGGCGTTGTCTTTGTCGGCTGAACGATGAAACACGCTTGACAGCAGCGGGCTTGGGCGAGGGCGACACCGGATCGTTCACATTGATGAGCGGCATGGACATGGCGTGGTGACACTGCGAGAGGTCCCCATTGAACTTGGCAGGACCAACAGCCGAGCTGCCAGAGGCGTGGGCGGTAGGGACAGCGGCGGGCGAGATGTTGATGGAAGACCCACCGTTTGGATCGATAGTGACGCGCTCGACGGATGACTGCGAGTTGAAGATATCGGTAGACGGCGAGGCGGCGCGGAAACGGCGGGCAGCCGGTGAGTTTGTCCGCGACACGCGCTCGGCCGAGCCACGGGCGCGGCGGGAGGACGGCGAGGCACGGCGGGCGACGGGGGAGACGCCACGTGAACCGCCACCGGGCACCGATGCCACGGTCGAGGCCTGGCGCTCGAGCGAGTGGCATCCGGACATGGATGCCGATCGCTCAAGCGGCTCGGAGCTCGCGTAGCCTTCCTCGAGGAGGAGGAAAGAGACAAGAACTAAAAGCCATTGGGCCATCGAGTAGTTCTCGGTCGGCGCACGCTTGCACTGGGTGAGGACGCGGTGGGTGTCCTGCTCGCCAAAGGCGGACCACTTGCGGGCGGTGAAGAAGAGCTTGAGCGAGATGTGCATGGCGTCAGTGTCGATGCAACGATCGCCGTCGGCGTCAAAGGCGGCAAATGCTCTGTCGAGCACATCAAGAGGTGCGCCGGGAGCGAGCAGAGCATCCCGGTCGGCTGGCTCGATGGTAGCGAGGATTCGGGCGAGATTGGTGTGCGAGAGTGCACCAAACGGAGGATATAGACTGATGAGCACATCGTTGGCACGGATGGTATCGGCATGCCGCATGTCCTGTCCACTCTGGCCTCCTGGAAGCTCCATGTCGCGCATGGCGGCTGCATACGCAGCTTGACATATGACCGGCGGAGCGAGACCAATCAGCGATTGGACGGCGAGGAGCATGTCAGCGCCCGAGGCAGTGACATTGCCCCGACTGGCCGGACGCCGCTTAGACTTGGCCTCGGGAACTCTTGACGAGCCACAGCCCATGGCTAGAGCTATAGAGGCGGATAGGGGGTGGTGCGGGGGGCACGAGTCGTGTGGTGACAACGCGGTGGTGGAGTGGGGTGGTGGAGTGAGTGGGTGGTGCCACTGCCCAATATTGCCGGAAGCGGCAATTCGGCAAAAGCAGAAAAATTTCGAATGTGGACGATGGTGCACGTGATTAGAGCCAACTTGGCCCGTGTGAGAATGACGCCACGCACATGGCAAACCGCGAGCAGTGCTGTGTTTACTTCCACAAGCAGTAGAAAGCCAGACGAGTTACGGGCACTTTTTGTGGACGAGCGCGGCGCCGTGCTCCTCGTACTCTTGCTTGGAGATCCAGAGCGAGTGGAAGGAGCCGAGCGAGGCCATGATGGAGCCGCCGATCCAGGGCGCAAAGCGCTGCTCGGTGGGGGTGTTGATGGAAGAGACCTTGACCTTGAAGGTCTGCGGAAGAAGCGGGGCGAGGTGCTTGCGGAGGCGCGGGGTAAAGTCTGGGAACAGGGTGTTGCCGCCGGTGACAATGACAGAGCCGAAGAGGTCGCGGCGGAGGTCGACGTCTGCGAGCGAGACCGACTTGTAAACCATCTCGTGGACGCCGAGCGAATCGTCGCGGTGGCCGAGGTCACCGGAGATAGGGTCAGCATCGTTGTAGCGGGTGCCGGGCTTGGAAAGCCACTCGGGCTTGCGGATCGAGTCGTCGGGGGTGAGCGGCGGGGCGGCCGGGAGGCGCGAGGCAGCGGCGACCGAGTCTTCGCCGGTGTCCATGGCGACCGGCTCCGAGGCGGTGGCGTGGGGGCGGAAGCGGTCTTCGTAGAACCAGCGCGGGCGAAAGAGGACCTCGGGGACGAGGAAGCGCTCGGGCCCGAGATCGAGGACGGTGCGGTCGGGGAGCTCGTACGGGACGACCGGGACCGAGCCGGTGGAGGCACCAAAGGCGTCTGCGGGCGCAAAGGCGCAGACGGAGCGCTTGATGTCGTCGAGGAGGGCGGAGCGGGTGAACGAGTCGTACGAGTGGGTGACGCGGATGTCGTCGGTGTACTCGACGGTGGTGTTGCCCTCGTCGTCGGTGACGAGCTTGAAGCCGTGGCGCGGGGTGACCCGGCCTCCGGCGGCCTCGACGAGGTGATGGAGAACCTTGTTGAGCGAGTTGCCGCCGATAGCGTGGTTGCGAACCACGGTCTTCTGCAGGACGTAGCCGTCCGAGACGACTGAGGCGGTGGTGACCGAGCCGCCGGATGAGAGGACGACACCAGACGGCTTGCCGACGGCGTAGGTGGAGAGTACGGCGTCCTTGGCCACAAAGTACGCTGGTGCGCCGTACGTCTCAAAGGCGAGCTCGGTGAGCTTTTCGCGGGCGGAGCGGGTGTTGAAGACCGACTCGGTGAAGAGCAGCGGGTGTTGCGAGGGGTCGACCTGGAGCACCGAAGTGAATGCGTGGTTCAGTATCGCCTGTGTGCCCTCCCAGTCGGTGATGAGGCCGTGGTGCATGATGGGCGTGAGCTCGACGTGCGGCCGCGAGACGCAGAGCGCGCCAGAGCCCACAATGTACCGTGACTTGCCTGCGCCCGAGTGATGGACCGGATCCTCAAGATCCATGGCAGCCTCGTTTGCCGATGCCGACGAGCCGACGGCACCACTGGCCTTGGCCGGCTCGACCCGTGCGCCAACACACGACGGCATGACCGACTTTGGCGTATCCTCACCAGCAAATCCGATTCGGGTCGTCGACGAGCCGATGTCGAGCACCAAGGCCGCAACCTCATCTGCGTTGGTTACAGCATCCAGCCCATAAGCCCACCCACCACCGGGTGTATACGTATGACGTATGCATGAGTATTGTGAACAGTGAGTCGCTCTTTCCCTATCTTTGTTCCCTATCTGTCCTCGTCCGCCCTGTCCGCCTTGCCCCCCCCCCCCCCCCCCCTCCCGGTCCGCTCGGCCACCCCCCACCATTCCCCCCACAACCACCCTCAGCACTACAGCCCACAGCAAGAACGTACCGCCACCAAACATTATGAAGTTATGTGGTGTATGCGAGTTGCCAACAGAAAGGGGAGTTGCTCCTTGTCTCGCACGCGCGCTCGAGTCAAGTGGCTGGAGTATGAGTATGAGCGTGTGCAAGTGCAAGTGCTGGAGGTCGGTGGGTAGCAGCTTGGTCGTCGTCGTCGTCCTTGTCATGGACTGATTGACTCACCGAGGGGGGGGGGGGGGGAGTGGGCGCTACCTGGTAGTGGTCCTACAATTGGTGTGTGCGCCGTCAAGCGGCTGTGGTCACTGACGGTCGTCGGCAGAGGGTAGGCGACCTCGTCAGAGCGCCCCACTCCTCACCCAATCCTCATATCTCGGGACAAGGATGGCAGACGCCCCAATGACGTCTTTGCCGAGTGATGGAGTGCTCAATGCCTCGGCGTCGTCGCTGGCGTCGTCGGTGGACTTGACGTGTCCGGCACCGTTTGAGCGCTCGCGCTCGCTCGTTCTTCCGCCGGTCACAGGAAGGGACAGCGATGGCAATGGTGATGATGGCATCCTTCGCGCCTCGCAATCGGTGGCAAGGATTCGGCCGCGGCGACGAAAACCCGTGCGATCTGCGACAACGACGACTGTCACTGACTTTACCACCGAGCTCAAGAACCTACGCGCGCTCTCGCAAAGCCTCGATCCTGTCCGTGCCGCTACCAGCACCTTGCGATCTGAGCTTGCAGCCCTTGCTGAGCGTGCGGCCGACTTGTAGTCGACTGGACCTGTAGCCACAGCGATGCGATTGAAACATCCCCTGATCGTCATCCCCCTCTCCCCCGATCTGCACCACGCCACCCCCACCCACCCCACACCTCCCCCCCACCACCACCCCACCCACCACCCACTACCCATCCACGCACCCTATTTCCACCTCTACCG